TCACTTCAGGTTGACTCTAGAAGACCCCTAGATGTTGCCCAAGAAGTTTGAGCAACATCTGATGTTGACTTTTAAAATAAATCACCTCCAAAGTTGAACATAGTTCATTGTAAAACTCTAAAGTTGCTGACTTGATTGCTGGATAACTGAACGATTTCACAAACTACTCTCACTTCAGGTTGACTCTAGAAGACCCCTAGATGTTGCCCTAAAAGTTTGAGCAACATCTGATGTTGACTTTTAAAATAAATCACCTCCAAAGTTGAACATAGTTCATTGTAATAGTCAAAAGTTGCAGAGACGATTGCTGGATAATTGAACGATTTCACGAACCACTCTCACTTCAGGTTGACTGTAGAAGACCCCTAGATGTTGCCCTAAAAGTTTGAGCAACATCTGATGTTGACTTTCAAAATAAATCACCTCAGTAGAAGGGTAGCAAGGCTCACAGCATTCGAGCACTGAACTGGGGTTTCAAGAACACGACAGTTCCAGTTGCTTCCTGTTGCTCGTTCCAGGACTTCTTCACTGAAGTACTGCTCATGGAACCGTATCTCACACGAGTCACTCTGGATCTGCAGAATTGGTTAGAAAACTCATTTATTAAAGTTAAAAATAATGCGTGTTTATTCCCATTTTACCATGACGTTCTCACATTATTTTATCAAGTAATTCATTATCTTTTAGAAAACCATGTGAAACAAATTATTGTCAATAAATCTCTAAATTTGGAAATTTGCTGTGGAAGGAGTTAAGATTCATCTAAACACATACACTTTAATTGGATGTTGTACCAGGGACCTTCAGTACAAACTTTCGTTCCACCTTGTGTACCACGTGATGCGATTGACAATAATATACTTGAACCATAAAACCTTATCTACAGCATGATATCAAATCCACCAGAATCACATTAAATAATTTACATCTGTTGTGATACTACAAAAAAAACATACAACATTAAAACAAATGTACCCAACCAGTTTGTAATTGGAGGCCCTGCACCAGCTGGTTTTGCCAAACAACACATGGAGCAGTTGTTGCCTGAATCAAACACTGTAAATCAAGAAAAACAAGTTACACCATAAAATAATAAGTTAACTATTTATCTGAGGAGTAGAAGTAGACTGCTTTGAGTTTAACTCCATTGCAGAATTCTCATTTTGAGTAAGCATGAAGGAAATGTTTAATTTACCCTTTATTTATACAGGTAGTGTCATTGACTCACGAGAACTCATTTTCAAGAGAGACCTGTTTTAGGGAGCAGATGGGGGTTAAGGGCCTTGGACACCTTCTCCACTATCAGATATGTTAAAAGCTACACAAACAGAAAACCTTGGCTGATTGCAGAGGTGAGCACCCTGCTGGAAGCCAAGAACACTGCCTTCAGGTCTAGAAACTCAGAGGAGCTGAGTAGGACAAGAAAAGAGCTGGTTGCTGGTATTAAGAAGGCCAAGGTCAGATATGAACAGAGGTTCGAGGGTCAATTCATCTCACAAGACCCACGGAGCATGTGGAGGGGCATTAAGTGCATAACAGATTATAAAGGCAGGAGCGAACAATGCCCCAAAGACCCATCTCTGCCTGATGCCCTCAACAAGTTCTATGCATGCTTTGAAGACCTGAACAGAACCCCCAGCACCAGACTCACCTCACCACCAGATGAAGAGCATCTCAGCGTGACCTCAGCTGAAGTAAGGAGTACTTTCAGGAGGATTAATCTGCACAAGACAACCAGCCCAGACAACATCCCCGGAAAAGTGTTGAAAGAATGTACAGATCAGCTCTATGAGGTGCTGGCAGACATCTTTAACACCTCACTTACCCTGGAGACAGTTCCCACCTGCCTGAAGACTGCCACGATCATCCCAGTCCAAAAGAGCTCTACAGTGACTGGTCTGAATGACTATCGGCCAGTAGCCCTCACCCCGATAGTTGCTAAATACTTTGAAAAACTGGTCATGACTCGCATCAAAACAACCATCAACATCAACGAGGACCCTCATCAGTGTAGTGAACCTGATCTGAACCTGATCTGACCTCAAATCTATCAGAT